ATTGACACAATCCATTAATTTTATATTAAAACTATAATTTCAGCAGAATATTTTGGGCTTTATTTATTGAATTGTTTTTGCCTCTACAGTTGGATATTTAATTTCTTTATATTTTATCTTAAAAATGGACAAAATAATTTTGTTGAAAATGCAGGGATTATAAAATTTAGAATACATTACATTCACATACAGAAGCTGGTTTATTTCATTTTATAGGTATTTAACCTTTCATTATTGTAACAACATATATCAGTATTAGCAAAGCTTACCATCATGAGCCACATGGTCCTTTAGATACAGCAGCAGCAGGGTCCTCATTCTCTTTAGATAGCACTGAGGAGATGAGAAAAGGTGAACTCACCATACAAAATAAGTTATTCAATTTACAAGCAATCATTGGCAACTGATCATTTGAAAGGACATATAGGATGGGTGGGTGGGATGATACTGCGACTGAGTGAAACAAAGATGGCGACAGCTTGGTTGAAATGGCTTTGGTATCAGCTTTGGTCAATTTAGACTTGGGCTTTTCTTTGAGTCGAGAACAGACGTGGAGACATTTGTTGGTACTCTTCGGTCAATGAAAGAAAAAACCCCAATGGTCAAAGAAATAGCTTGAATCTGACAAAAGTAATAATAAATAAAGAAAATGTTATGACCAATGAATGTCAGACATTGCTTCAGCAGAATGATAAAATAATAAACTCATGGAACTGGCAAGGATAAAGATGATGGTACTTCTAACTTAATATTTTGTTGCTTGTGCCTTGGTCTGCCTGAGTGTTCGTGGCAACCGGGTCTGGGGGTTTAAGATTTTGGCATCTGCCTGTTAGATCCCGGTGGCTGCCTGGTGGGGTCTGGGTCCCTGGGCTCTGCTGGGTCCCCGGCGGGGGTGGTCGCCCCTGGGTCCCGGGTCGCTGGGTCCCGGGCTCGGCCGGCTAGGGGGTGGGAGGCTGCGGGCGGGCCTGTGGGCTTGCCGCTGATATCTCCGGGGACTCTGCCGGCTGCTCGTTGTGGCCCCCCGGGGCGATCCTCTGTGCCTCTCGAGGGGGTCGGGGGCCTTCCTGGTTGCAGTCTCCTTGGGGTTCCTGCGTTCTGGGGCAGCGCCTGGATCTCTGGGACTTGGAGCTCCCCCCGTCTCCTGCGCATCTTTGGGGGGCGGATCTGTGGTCCCTCACACTCTCTGTTGGGCGCTCCTATAGAAAAACCTTAAATAAACAAGCGCGTGTACACACACAGGTGCTCACATGGTGCTCTCAAAAGTATGGGCTTGGGCACGTTAAACACAGGTCTTAAGACTATGGTGGGCACTTAATGCGTTGTGATTTATTATCGTGATTCTTCAGTTAAGCAATATTGATTATATATATATATTTTTTCTTTTCATCAAGTTGACACAGTGATAGGTAGATCTTGTTGTATTGTTGTTGTGTCCCTTTTTTTTGTGTCCCTTTGTTTTTTTTTGTCTTTTTTTCTGCAGGTCTAGAAGCAGACTCTTGTTCATTTTTGTTTATTTTTGTGGACACCCCCCCCCCCCCCCTCTCTCCCCACCTTTTCTTTTCCTTTCTCTTTCACCTCTGTCTCCGTGTCTGGTCGGAATTACAAAGCATTCAACAACAATAACAATAAAGTTTTAAGTATCAGGCGTGACATTAAAAGCAAACGCTTTGATGCTCCACCTGAGAATAAATCTGTAAGGCTTGTCACCAGCATTCAGACATCAATTCTGCTTGCTTCACAGCCAGACAGGACACGTAAAAAAAAAATTAAAAAAAAATTGTTGCACAACCTTTTGAGGTAATCACTGCAATCAAATGATTCCTGTAACTGTCAGTGAGACTTCTGCACCTCTCAGCAGGTATTTTGGCCCACTCCTCATGAACAAACTGCTACAGCTGTCTCAGGTTTGAAGGGCACCTTTTCCAGACAGCATGCTTCAGCTCCTTCCAAAGATGTTCAATTGGATTGATGTCATGGCTCTCAGAAGGCCACTTTAGAACAGTCCAATGTTTTCCTCTTAGCCGTTCTTGGGTGTGTGTAGCTGTGTGTTTTGGGTCATTGTCCTGTTGAAAGACCCATGACCTCCCACTGAGACCAAGCTTTCTGACACTGGCCAGCACATTTCTCTCTAGAACCCCTTGGTAGTCTTGAAGTTTCATTGTACCTTCCACAGATTCAAGACACCCCGTGTCAGATGCAGCAAAGCAGCCCCAGAACATAACAGAGCCTCCTCCATGTTTCACAGTAGGGACAGCGCTCTTTTCTTGATAAGCTTCATTTTTCCATCTTTGTCTCATCTGTCCATGGAACAGTCTCTCAGAAGCTTTGTGGCTTGTAGACATGTAATTTTGCATATTCCAGTCTGACTTTATGATTTGTTTTGAACAGTGTTGTCCTCCTTGGTCGTCTCCCATGTAGTCCACTTTGACTCAAACAACAATGGATCATCATCATCACCATCATTGAATCCGATCGCACCAACAAACATTTAAAGCCCAGCTTGAAGTTCACCTTGGATCTCTAGAATTTTTCTGGGCTTTTTGTTACCATTCTGATTATCCGTCTCTTTGATTTGTCATCATACTTCCTCTTGCGACTATGTCCATGGAGCTTGGCTACAGTCCCATAGATCTTAAATTTCTGAATAATATGTACAACTTTAGCCACAGGAACATTTACCTGCTTGGAGAAGGTCTAATAGCCTTTACCTTCAACATGCTTGTCTATTTTTGTCTTTTTAATCTCCTGAGATGACTCTTTCCATCACTTCCTCTGGTCCATGTCGAGTGTGATACACACCATGTCACCAAACAACACAGTGACTACCTGGAGCCCTATATATAGACCCACTGACTGATTACAAGACTGTAGACACCTGTGATGCTAATTAGTGGACACACCTTCAATTACCATGTCCTTTTGGTGACATTTTCAGTCTTTTCTAGGGGTCCCAACAAATTTGTCCACACCTGTAAAAGTCCTTAAGTCCTTCATTTAGAAAAAGGATTTGGATCTTCTACGACAGCGTATGGCGGACTGCCCCATTGACTGACATCTGTAGCAGTGAGTACGTCACATCATTTGCTGTGTCAATCAATTTCCCTCTGGGATTAATAAAGTATTTTTGAATTGAATGCGGTTTGAAAAACAACCACATATCCCACCCCAAACTGGGTTGTGGCCAGACTTTATAACATGTATAGGATGGCTTGCCAGGCTGGCTCCAAATCATTGGTGGGAAGAAAACGTGTGTTCAAATTTTTATTTCATATTTAAATCCTTTTATGGACAGAAATAAGGAATTATACTGCCATCTGTTGGTGGTTTGAGACCATTCATTCATCCATTATCTGAAAAGTTTAAGCAGTTTTGAGACTATTACAAACTATTTCAGGAACTATTATAGTTTTCAATTTCATAGAATTTTTACTCAATTCACCAAAAGTCTTTAAGCAATTCTAAACCAAAGAAAGAAAACCATAACAGTGCTCCATCTAAAAGGTATTTTAAATCATGAACTCAATGAAAGAAGTCCCCCTATACACCAGAATGTTGGTTTCAGTGTTAGTAAAGTAAAATAAACCCAAAGAGTTGAATACACAAGTAAAAAAAGATATTTTCTGGGTCAGGGACCTCCTGCCCTTTTTCTGCATCTCTTTGAATCAGATGTTTACAAAACGAGAGTGATATCCAAGCTGTATGTCTAAAAGTTTCAGATTTTTGTGTGAACAGGTTTTCTCGAATGACACAGGGTTTGACCATTTTGACTGCCTGTGTTTTCTAAATGAGCTCCTTATCATAACTGGAATAACTAACACAACTGTATTCAACTCACATACCAGACAAAACATTATGACCAATGGAATAAATACCAGTAATTTTGTTCACACAACAATCTGCAGAAATGAACAACTCATTGCTGTACAAATAGGGGCACTTTTTGTTTTGACAGGTCTGGTGTGCTTTACAGGGAAATATATAAAGTTGTGGCCTATCGAGTACTAGGAACCCCAAATCACCACATCACACAATTCTGGAGTTTCATCGATGTCCAGGTTCCTGTTTGTATTAAATTAAATTAAATTAAATTAAATTAAATTAAATTAAATTAAATTAAATTAAATTAAATTAAATTAAATATAATTTTTTCTATTATAGTTTATTGTCTTTTTCCCAACAGATAATGTCTTTCTATCCATTATCAGCTGCTTTTCCAGGGTCAGGGCATGGAGGCGGCAGCCTAAGCAGTAAGGCCCAGACTTTTCTCTCCCCAGCCACTTGGGCCAGATCCTACAAGGAATCACAAGGTGTTCCCTGGCGAGCTGAGAGGCATAGTCCCTCCAGCGTGTCCTGGGTCTTCAGTTGGGTCTCTTCCAAATTGGATATGCCTGCAAATCCTCATCAGGGAGGCGTCCAGGACGCTTTCCTAACTAGATGCTCGAGCCAACTTAGCTGGCTCCTCTAAATGTGGAGAAGCAGCAGGTCTACTCTGAGTACCTCCCAGATTACTGAGCTCCTCACCCTATCTCTAAGGGAGAGCCCAGATGCCCTGTGGAGAAAACTAATTTCTGGCACTTTTATCTCATTCTTTTGGCCACTACCCAAAGCTCGTGACCATAGGTGAGGGTAGGGGTGCAGATCGACCGGTAAATCAAGAGCTTCGCCTTCCGGCTCAAGTACAAGACCTTGAGATACTTAAACTCCTCCACTTGAGGCAGGACCTCATCGCTGACCTGGAGAAGCATTCATTAATTTTATATATTTAACTTTTTTTTCCAGTGTCCTATTGTATAATTTCTTTCAGTTCCAAGTCCACTCCATTGTTTCAAGCATCAACAAACAGGTATTTGAAGTATTAATGCCCTTAGACCGTGATACCAGGCTGTAAACATAAATCTTCACGGTGTGTTTATGACGCAGATGTTTCCAGATGTTTGTCATGCTAACATATGAATATGTTCTTCTCAGAAACTCATTTTCCATCGAGGACAGCACAGCAATTTGACAAAACAAAATAATTTATTCTCATCAAACCCAGAGGCAATTGGTGGTCATTACAGTTAGCTGATGGGTTTTACACAAACTACACACAACCACAGTCAGCTCATCACTACATCATCTACTCAAAATAAAGCACACTAGAAAAACATTAGTAAACAATACATTAGCTCTTTTAGCACCATTCATTATAATATTCTGCAGGTAGACAAGAATCATTTACGTTTCTATGGGTTCTACAATGTCCACAGGCTTGAGTTTCCTCTTCTCTGAAAGCCTGGAGGAGACGTTTACATTCGGTACCACAAGACACGTGTGCAACAATCTGCAGCTAATAAACTCTTTTTCGTTGTTCATCTTTTATATTAGATCAGTTGTTGCATTATTATTCCTAAATGTATTTAAAAAACAAAACTGTCCACAAATGTCTGAAGGAGGACTTAGAAAGGAACGGGCCCGTAGTAAGCAGTGTATGCTGCGACGATGCCTTCAGTGTCGGCCATGTCATCGCAGGCTTCGTTCAGCTCACACACCTCCCTCAGGCTGCAGGACAGAAGGAAAGAGGGACCATGTAACTCAGATTCACACTTTTATTTTTGTGTGCACCAAAATAACGCAATATTTACTGGGTAGGACTCAATATTGCACCTTTCCAGCTGCAGAGGGCTCAGGATTCCTCCTGAAGCAGCTCGTCTTCTCCTCAGGAGGACAGAGGCCAGGTCTCTCTTCGTCACCACATGAGAAACTAAAGTAGAAGAGATGAAACTGTTTTCTTTCTGTGCACCAACAGAAAATGTCTTTTAAAAAAAAGCTGCAATACCTTCAGCGCTGGCTGACTCTGATGAAGATGAGGAAGATGAAGAAGAAGAGGCGGCAGAGTCAGAGGCTGAAGAGGATTCAGAAGACTCGGTGGAGGAGGACTCGGATGATTCGGACGACTGAGAAGACTCAGAGGACTCGGAGGACTCTGACGACTCCGAGGCTGAATCAGAGGCTGAGGAGTCTGAGCTGGAGTTGGAATCAGATGCTGAAGAGTCAGAAGCAGAGGATGAAGCTGAACTGGACTCGGAGGAGGAAGAGGAAGGTGAATCTGGTGCAGCGGCGGGGTCAGCGGCGGGGTCAGCAGCGGGGTCAGCAGCAAGGTCCACAATAACCTCAGGTTCCACAGCTGATGGAGAAAGAAAGGAACATTTTAAGGTGTTTAATAATCATGTGGGTTTAAACAGATGATGAGAGTTTTTCCTCACCTCCCATGGACCAGCAGACTGAGAGAAGAGCGCAAATGGAGAGCAGAGCCAGAGACTTCATGATGTCTTGTTGTTGGTTTCTCCTTGCAGACAATCGGCTTCTTGTTTCTTTGCTTTCCTTCGAGGATCTCGTTCTGTTTCTCAGCCTTAATCCAGGGTCAATATATACCGTGTCCCGGCTCTGTTGGCAGACCAGACCCATACATGACCTCTGATTGGTTGGAGAATCAAATGTCAACGTTTCCGCTTCCTCTTGTTGTTTAAAGCTCCTACAAACACCCACGCAGTTGCTGGCACTGGGTCCAGAACCTCCTTCCGTGTACACAGCCTCAAACATTCCAGTCATTTGACTTTGTACAGTGTGTGGTCTGTACACCTGTATGTTGGAATTCTTGTGATGATTGGGGTCAAAAGTGGAAATGAACTTCAGACCTCGGGGATCCCCCCTAAAGCATCCACAAAAAGAGTCTTCTCCCTCAGAAAACACTCAATAATCTACCTTTGGCGTTTATAGGGGTGTACAAACCAGCAGATGCATGTCCAGTTAACGTTTAAAAGATCCTAAAACACTTGGCAACATGCATGGCATCTTTTTCCTCCCGGCAATTATTCTCTGTGGTCAAACCGATCATTTTATCCTTGTTTTGTTTGCCAGTCGTCTGCTCCCCCTTCAAATTCTTCTGGAACCTCACTCCTCATCTTCGAGGTATAAATAATGCAACGGTCACTGGATGGCAGAGTTACAAGATTTCTATAAAATACCCTGAAAATGTAATTGGATTTTAATCAGGGTGGGCATTTTTCACATCAAACTTGCGCCTTTGCTGTTATGTTGGAAGACTTTTTGTCCCAGATGTGATCCCCCACCCCCACAAACCCCAAACTACAGCCTGAGGCCACCGCAAGCTACTAATCGGCCAACAGGGAACAGCAGTGAACCTCATTATGCGACAGGGCTTAATTAGAGTGTTGCAGAGTCCCAGTTGAACCGCAGTCAGTGGCTAAATGCAGATCCAACAGGGCCCTGGTTCTGGACCCATCCAAGGCATGGCCACGGTTTACAAACGCCAACCAGCAGCCCAAAACACGGCCGGACTCGTGGTATTTCAGCCTATATGGAGGTAAATTTAGGCAGTCCCCATGTGTTGGATGCAAAGTGTTCAGCGTGCGGCTTTGGCTGCAGCTTTCTGTTTGTTCGATATGGTTCACGTGTGGCTTCAGCTGTGGGTTGTTTTCCCTTTTTTGACTGAAATAAAATGTAGAGGTTTTCAAATCTGGACTAAACTACACCGCACTTGTCACCCTCTTCTTCCTCACTTCATATATGAAGGTCTGTGAGTACCCCCAGCCTGCTCCTCTGTCCTGGAGAGAGAGACCTGGCCTGCTGAGTGACCTTCGTCTATCGCAGTCTGGTTTTATTCCTGGTTCGGTGATTTGTTTTGGATTGTGCTCCATGCAATTTCTGTGTCTGCTTCAGTGTCCTCTTTTGTGGATCCACTTCAGTGTGTTGGAGAAAACAATCGCTCTGACAAGGAAAAGGAAAAACAGCGTCTAGGACTTTGGACTTGCTCTGCTTTATTCTGCCAACCAGTAATACTGAGTTTATGCTTTACTGATTTTCCAGAGTCCTACTGGCCTTTTGTCTGACTACCAATCAAAATATGACATAAATAATTTGCTTAATCCCCCATTATTTCATAGAGGATTGATCCTTTACATGAGAACAACTCATAAGATGTAAAAAAAACCTACATATAAAAATATATGACAGTTTGTATGAAGTCGTATGCTTTTTCCTGTTGCTCTAATTAATTTGTTCTTGTAAGGAAAATAGACATTTGACACTTCAGCCCTTTTACCAGTGAGGGTATTTCTAAGTGAGCTATTGACGTAAAGTTTCCACCACATGTCAATATCAATGCTTGTATGTAATTCATGCAAAGGCCTTTAAGTCCATAAAATGAGTTATGTGTAATAAAGTGAAAAGACACAGGGGAAAAGTATTAAACACGTGAAGATAACAAGGAGCTAAGTGGCAGAGAAATCCAGGAGATGACCTGAAATCTGTCACCACGCCCCCTGGCACTACTAATTGATATCAGCTGTTTTAGGCCTAATCAATGGCCTGTAATGGCTTCTCATTATCCAGGAGGCAGATAGGCGGGGCTTGGTGACCAGGTGTGGCCACTCCAAGGATCCAGTGGCGGTGGGTTTGGTGGTCCCTCTCTTCGGCTATAAATACGAATGCCAGATTCGGGATGGGTGTTTGGTATTTACAACCGAATAGGTAGTATTGCTGTGTGCCTTGCGTTTGGTGGGGGACTGTTTGCTGGCGGGCTCTGTCATCTGTTCGAACTCGGTGACTACGCTGGAAGCTCTATCTAGGACAGGCTCTAAGTATAGGGAGCCGAAGTCACTTCCACATCATGGATCCCCGGAAGAACGAAAAAACGAATGCAAGTCGATGGGTCTAAAAACGCTATTTTTCTAATTCCGCTTATTTTGTGCCATGGATTTCACATATGATGTCCTTGAATTTTAAAGACACATTTTGATACCAAGAACGCACTTATTTTCTAACAGGGGGAAACGCAATTTTAGGTTTTGTGTGAAAATAAGTCTAGGACTACAAATGCGCTTCACGAAAGTGATGTCATCTAGCCAGACACGGAGAAAACTGAGAGAACACAGCTGTAAGTTCAGGAAACTTCCCACTGGAGGAAAGAACCACCATAAATGTGGTCATTTGGTAAGTAGCAGCTACTTTGGGGAAAGGAGATTATGTGGTGACCTCACATATGCGACGTGCCGATTTCTAGTTTGTAGCCATGCTAATTACAAACTTTTACAAACATAAATCTCAAAGTATATGACTGGGTGGACGCAGTGGCCAAAGGTGCCTTAGGGTAGCTGAAGTGGGGTTGGAAGTGATGTTTGGCCAACCAAAGAGCTGCTATGAAACTGGTTGAGAGGCCATGGGAATGTGGCAGACTTCCTGGGATGGGGGGGTGATGGGTAGGGGTTTTTATGAGCTGCGGTGAGCTGTGGGTGGTCGCCGGCAGGTCTTTGCTTGTGGGAGGGGGAACTCTGTGGTCTTGACCCAGTTGAGGTTGGGCAATAGTGGTCTACGGGGTTGGCTGGTTTTAGTAGGGAAGCACCCGAATGGATTTGTGACTGTGGGAGTTGGAAACTGTGAGCCATGGGCTTCTGTGCTACTGGTGATATGCCGAAGAAAGAGGTTCTTTTTTTTATATCTTTGGTGGCCCTTGGTGTGTCTGTATTCAGTTTGAGAACTTTATTGGAGACAGAGGACTGGTGGGGGTGAAGGCGTTGTTGGGCTTTCTGCGCAAGGTTGGGTGTATGGCAGAATTTGAAGGGGACTTGGTGCTATGCAGTCATTGTTGTGGCAGCAATGTGTCTGTTAAGCCGGGTGTACACTGTGCGACTTTTTCACTTTTTTGAGCCGATTTTCCACTCGTGCGAGAATCCACAAGATCGGGGTGAGTTTTGTGCCGAGCGTCGTGTAGTGTACAGGGGGTTACGAGAGGCGATTAACACCATGTGACCAGCTACCGATCAGCAATCGTGAGCTCGCACAAACTTCTGGCGTGTTTAATATTTTGCTCGTCCCTCGTGAGGGTATAGCACTGTTGAAGTGGTGCTGCGAGCAGCTGCGACCCAAAAAGTATCAGAACCGCTCACGGCGCATGCGCAATCCTGCATCAACACTGCTCGCTCGCTATTTCCCAAATAACACACGTTGTTCGTTTTAATTTCTACACGTTTTTTTTTACTCAAAGATTTTCAAGAAAGCATGTTTGTCGTGTTCATGTCAAATTAAACTGATCACAAAACACAGATTTACTTTCTTTATTTCGTTTTCCTCATCCAACCCCCTTAAATCCCTGTGTGTCCTCCTGCAGCACTCCCGAAGGACAGCAGGCAAGACAAGACAAAAAAGTCTGATGTGTTGTGTAAAAACTGCTATTTTTAGCATATTTTTAGGTCCGACGTGTTGCTACCAGACGTACAGTGTGAGCAGTCAGATCGCATCCGAGAACTGGGTCGTGCAGTGTAAGCACATAACTCGTGAGATCTGCCCTGCAAGGAAGTCGTACAGTTTGAGCTGAAGCTGAGTGCTACGAGTGAAAAAGTCGCACAGTGTACGCCCGGCTTTAGGCGTCCAGCCGGCCGATTCGAACAAAGAAGAAAGAGGCACACAGAAAGGCTTCATGATGGGTAAATGCAAAGAACTTTGTGATCTTATTATTGAAAAGCCTTCTGATGGCAATGGGTATGGGCACATTTCCAGAATGCTGAACGTTCTTGTGAGCACTGTGGGGGCCATTTTCAAGAAATGAAAAGCATAAACTGGCCACAGGTGCTCCGTGTACGATTCCTGTCTGAGGAGTCCAACAAATAATCGAGAGAGTTCTCCAAGAGCCAAGAATCACTTGGGCAGAACTTCAGGAAGACCTTGCATCAGCAGGTACTGATGCTTCAAAGAAAACTACAAGCAATGCTTGCTTTTCAGCAAGGTTTACTGGCAGACTTCATGTTGCTGAAGGCAGGATCAATGGAGGAATGTACTGAGACATCCTGGATAAAGATCTGCTGCCATCTACCAGAAAGCTGAAAAGGAAATGAGGGTGGACATTTCAGCAAGACACCTAAACACAAGGCCTAGGATCAATGAATAGGTGTCCAAGACAGAAAATCAAGTTGCTTGAATGGCTCAGTCTGTCCCATCACCTACATCCCAAAGAAAATCTCTGGAAGAGGTCCAATGAACCTTCAAGATTTAAAGACTGAGTGGAAGAATCACTCCTGAGCAAAGCAAGCGTCTGGTCTCTCCATATCTCCATAGGCATCTAGAAGCTATAATCATAACAAAGGCTTTTCTACAAAGTATTAAAAGTGTTCAGTAATTTTTCCTTGTGTCATTTCATTTTATTTATTATGACTCTCCTTGTATACCTAAATGTTCAGATGTTTTTGTATGAATTGAACATTTTGCTTGGTGGCAACATCTGGCAGAAACGTTGTGTCAATAGCCCACTTAGAAACATGTCATGTTCTGTGTCCCCTTGGTCCCCAGCCCTCTCCTGTTCGTTCTCTGCATTCCCCTCATGTGTTCCCTTGTGCTGTGTGTGTCCCTATGCTTCCCCAGCCCTCTCCAGGTTCTCCTCATGTGTCTCCTTGTGTTCTCCAGCTCCCTCTAGGCTTCCCTCATTTCCTCCTAGTCACTCCCTATTAGTTTGTATTAGCCCTCCTCACCACTCCAGTCATTAGTTGTTTATCTTTTGCCCTTAGTCTTTAGGTTTAGTTATTTAGTGTTTTATAGATTATGGTTTATCTTCCCCCCGCTAAAGTTCTTTCCCCATTTAGTTTATGATAGGTAATTTTTGATTTATCCCATATTACCTTAAAGGACGACACACAGAGAGAGAGAGAGTAGATTATTCGTAATGTCCATGAATCGTCATGCGAGAGCTGGGTGCAGAAACCCCCTCCATGGAGCTAACCAGGCCCCCTCTGCTCCTGGGGAAAGCCTTCAGCTCACCAGCTCTGCATGCCCGCATTCTCCACCAAAATGTTAGGTAATTAAATGTGGGGTAATAACCCTGGAACCTGAAATAACACTCATGACAACAAGGAAGACATTTTACCCTGAGTCCCCAAAATAATGGAGAGTTAACGCAGAGGAACCTCCTCCGAGGCTGTCCCCCACGTTACTCCCCCATCTCCTCAGTTTCCCAGGGGCTTTATTCAGCAAAGGATGGAGGAGAAGGCGGGGCCTTCTCAGGTTACAGAGGTACAGAGCTCCGGGAGTTGACGTCACTTCTCCCGGCATGCAACAGTTCAAATCGAAACGGCGCCATATTGGCATGCAGAAGCCGGCAGCTGGACTATTTGTTATTGTCAGAAAACTCAAACGGGAAATATGGTAGATTCCTGTTGTGCCCCAGGATGCAGAACAGACGCGGATGACATAAGGAATGAGCCATCTAAAGGATTCCCCAAGATCCTTAGTGCCGCAAACGTTGGATCATTGTAATAAAACGCACTAGTGAACGGGCTGAAATGAAGCTGTGGGATCCCGAGAGTAAAGGTTTTCGCTTATGCAGCGACCACTTCATATCAGGTACTTAAACCAACATTTCCTCAACTGTGTATGGTATTTATTTTAAATGCTTTTATTATGATTCTTAGTGGGCTTCCTAAACTTATTTTGGCGTGGCTTTTTCTGTCTTATTACTCATAGCAACAAGTAAACATCACGTAAAACGTTGCCTCGTGAGTTCTGCGTGCTGCCGTTTCCGTGTTTTATGATCACATCAATTAACCAGCTAAGCTGTATTTCATTTTTAAGCAATGGTTGATCAATTGTCAGATCACACATAAAAAGCACTTTGGATTGCTATTATCTGTCTCACCGAGAATACTTACGTGTAAATCTGTTATTTGTCCGTCCATCCATCCATTTTCATCCGCGTATCCGGAGTCGGGTTGCGGGGGCAGTAGCGTGACTTCCCTCTCCCCAGCCGCCAGAGCCAGCTCCTCCGGGTAAATCCCAAGGGGTTCCCCGGTCAGGTCCGGTGTTGTGCCGGTAAGAAGTCCGCTCCGACAGCTTATGGCGTCGGAGCGGGCAGTAGAGTCGAGAGTCCCAGACCTTCTCCCCAGCTCCTCCGGCCGAGGGAATCCCAAGGGGTTTCCCCGGCCAGGTCCGGTGTTGTGCCAGTAAGAAGTCCGCTCCGACAGCTTCTGGCGTTTTTAAAAAGTATCCCAGGGGCACGGTAAGGGTCGGAGATGTTTAGTCTATTTAATTTCTGACTATATAAAACGATTTCTTCTGTTTTAAAGTGTGAAGTAAACTCCGACGAAGTAAAATCCAAGCGGATCCCGTTCATGTTCATGGTTACATCCGTGTTTGTTTACCTTTTTTGCATGCCAAAATGGCGTCCACTAACTGAGAGTCACGTGGGGTCCGGAGCTCTACAGAGGTTTGGTTGGAATCAACATCCTTGACTGCAAACGAGCTTCTCTGCTCAACCTTTCATGAACAGCCACAGTTGGCAAACACAGAGATTCATGAAGTGTTAATAACACAAAATGGGCATCTTTTAGGCCTCAAAAAGGTACAATTATAAAAATACCCAACAGTTTATTTATGACACCTGTCTTCCCTCTTGACCTCACTCCTCACGCCTGTCACCTGTTCCCCTGATTGCTTCCCTCTGTGTTAAAAACCCTGTCTTGTCCCTCAGTGTTTGTTGCTTCATTGTTGTATTTGTCAGCATAGTTTTGTCCCTCCTCTCGAGACTCTCTAATTTCTTGCTCCTGAGTGAGCTTTGGTTTTGTTTTTTCTGAGTTTTAGTTTCAGGCTTAGAGTCCTGCACCTTTTGAGTTTTTGAAATACATCCTAAATAAAAGGATTATATTTTTACCTCCGCTCCTGCTTCGAGTCATTCGGTGGTTCTGCATCTTGGGTCCAAACCTCCTGCTCCTCAACGTGACACTTACTGATGAAAATGTGTCAATGTGCTTATTTTTCCTGTAAAAAAACAAACACACGTAGAGATAATTCTACATTTTTATGCTCTAAGCTGTTAAAACCGATGTGCCTGATTATAAACAATACACTGCTGAACACGGGAACACTGAGTTTAGATGATAAAATAACATAAAGTAATTCCATTAATGCTCCAGTTTTCACTTTTTTCTGCTCTTGGGTTTTATAATTGAAGTCTAATTTATTCTACTATTTACAATTGTGCTTATGTAATTAAAAAATACCTGTAAAACAAATGACAGTGTTTGGCGAATGATTGCTTTGTGTTTCTGATAAGTCATTAATGAAGTAAGCTCATCTTGGGACAGAGACAGCAACTGGTCTACATGACATTAGGATCAGGGGATCCTGGGGATTCCAGTTTGTTCATGATAATAATGAATCTTCCTCTTGCAGCAGAATCTGTCATGGAGTTCCTCAGGGGTCGATGCTTAGACTCCTTACTTTAATCCTTTAACGCTTATTGCTTCAAATTAATGAAAATGCAAAGAGATGAAAGAGATCAAGAATTTGTGCTAAAAGTACAGAAGCAGGTCGTAACGGGCACGTCGGATATAACGGCTGCACTTGAGGACTATGGGTTGTTGCTTCATGACAAGAGACCAGTTTGACTTCAGCATTTATTTTCTGACCTGTAGCTCAGTTTTAGCTGTTGCAGCCCCAACTGCAGTGGCGGCTGGCCAGTAGAGGGCGATAGGGCGCCGCCCTCCCAGTTTCCCCTGTGTTTTTAATTTTTATTTTAAAAAATAAAAAAATAAAATTAACAATAATCACATATTCTAAGTTAATTGTGTGTTTTGTAACAAAAATAAATCATATATATATATATGTATATATATATATATATATATATATATATATATATATATATATATATATATATATATATATATATATATATATATATATATATATTTGTCTCTGCCGGTCTCTGCCGATCTCTGCCGGTCTCTGCCGAGCGGTGGAGGCTGTGTGCTGTTTTTCAATCACCCAAGCAGGACGGGACTAGTTGTCCAATTGCTGACAAGAAAATCAAAGGGTAGGAATGGGAATGTATCCAATCAGCGTCGACGTTGTTTCAGAACGTTTCAGAAGCATGATGGGCGATAGAGCTACCGCCAAGGCTTTCGTTGGTGTTCGGTAGAACTCGGAGAGTCTCGACTCCAGCCCGTTTTTGGTCGTGACTCGTGACGGTCATGACGCAGACATAGACATGGATGCCAGTGCGCCTACAACATGGAAACCGGATCTCAGCAGCCACTGAATTCAGTTCGGTCTCTTCTCCAGTATCCGTTCGAGAGGAGAACTATGGTGGAAAAACTTAATGTCAAAGAGCTTGGACCAGATCAGCCCGACGTAAAGATAAGCCAGCAGGACAAGGAGAAGGGTAAACTGTACACACGATGTTTCTCCCAAAATTGGTACACCAGGAAGCAGTGGCTAGCTGGATGCAATCACGCTAATGCGTTATTTTGCTTTCTGTGTTTGTTATTCAAAACGGCTGGGATCCACAGAAGGTGGATGTGGAACTTGTGTCTCATTGGAGACTCCATTCATTCTCTGACTGAGGAATGCAGCGCATCAGTGCAGCAGCCAACAAAGAAACGGAGGACGTTTGGACAGGGAGAACAGCAGCTGGGTGCAGAGGTAAGCTGTACATTACATTTCTGTAAACAAGACAATCAGAATCAGAAATCCTTGGTTGTCCCACAAACCGGGACATTTGTTCAATAACATGTACATTGTTTAATGTGCAATAACTGTAAAAACTAATTTCAACACACATACCTATTATACATATTTAATAATGTAAATGTGTATTTCATGTAAATTTGTACATACATCAATCTGATTCCATTTTACTTGTTACACTTCTGCTGCAGCAAACAAATTTCCCAGCTTTTGGGACAATAAAACATTTCTGATTCTCAATGAGATGTTTTTACATTTGAAGTAAAAACATCTCATTGAGAACCAGAAATGTTTTATTGTCCCAAAAAGTGGGAAATATGACATTTGTAAGAGGATGCTGATGACATTATTTCCTATGAAAGTGTTTCCACTTTCCATAAGTCCTAACAGTGTAAATTTCTGGCATTTTGTCTAAGTAGTGTTTACTACCATTACTGTAAGAGTGACCTGCTCATAATTTTTCGTGTTCACTCAAATGTTGAAATTAAACAAAATGTTTTTGTTACTTGCCTCTTGCATTGCCTATTTACCATTTATGGTCGTGTTATTTTATGTGCAATTTAATGCAGTATTTTTCAACCTTGGTCCGCAAGGCAGCGTGCCAATAGTCAGACACACCTGGATTAATCAGTTTGTCCAGTAATGTAAGACAGGAAATAAAAGAGCTGTGCTTAATTCAGGAAATAGTGAAGTTGTGCACAAAGCTCAGAAAGCACAAGTTTGTTTAAAAAAAAATAGCACAGCCCCACCAAAAATATTTTTCACCAGCCGCCACTGCCCAACTGTCCATATGGATAAAGTTATCTTTGTTCAGTGTAAAATCAGGGTGACTTTCCATTGTGTAATGATGTTTAACATAAACAGAGCAAGTGCAATTTAAATAATGTTTGATTAATAAAGGATTAATTTGTGTTTAAATTAGACATAGGGAGAAATTAACCATTTAAAACAGTCTTTACCTTTCCTTCTGTGTTATAAAACTAAAACCACACTGTGAAGTCTGCCCCCGTCTCTCCCATCAACAGCCACAAACAAACTCACATGGCAGGCGTCCCTTTCTGCACATTTCCATCTGGACCCTGAGAAACGGTCACCTGCCAGGCTTCCCCGATTCCGCCGGATGTATCCGCTTGGCAGCGCCACACCACTAATTACACTGATCCCAGTATGGGCCTTGAAATTCCCTTCTTGCTTGACAGAATTTTTCTGAGAGAGGCCCAAGCTTTTTCTCCCTCTTAATGTCTACAACCCATCTGTTGTTCTTTTATGGAGCTTTTACAGCCTTCAGTGGTAAATAATATCCTTTTTGTCCCATATTTACAAACCCAAGTATGTTCTCACGTGAAATATGGAGTCAATTTGAATTTAGATGCCCTAGTTTTGTTAATATTGCGTGTAGCTGCTAAAACTATGACTCTATAACATTTTTTATTTTACAAACTTTAGCATCCAGAGTGAATCGTAGGAGAAACCAGCACCAACCGTGTCTTCTTCAGTGCCCACCTCTACAGTCTGCTCTCTGTCAGTCTCTCTGTGGTCACCATGTTGCGGTTTGGACGCTAACATTTGTGGACAGACTAAAACTATGCCACATCACTGCGACTTGTGGCCGCTGACCAGCGGCCGACCGGCCAGACCACAGAAAGTCTCACACTCGTGTAAACAGACAAAACTTGAAACACACCGTCACACAGGTCAGGTTGCAAATCTGAACATTTGAAGAATTTCCTGCTTTTGTGTAAATGAACAACAGAAGACTCAGACGGTGAAGTTTTTATTAAGTTATGATACATCATTTACATTAGGTCCATGAGTGCTACAGCTCTGTTTTGGGCTCTTCACCAGCCTGCTTCATATCCTGAAAGAAAGGGGAAATTTCATTAAATACTGTGTTTTTAAGGCTGTGTCCTGACATTGTTGCATCTATAAATAAAATCTATAAAGAAATTGTCACAAATGTGGTGATTCCCTGTTGTTTTTGTTTTACAGTTATAAGTTATTACAGCAGATATAATGTCACATTTCAGGATTCAAGCTGAAAACAAAAATTGGGAGGATTGGTACTGAGCAGTCTGATGTCCAATCTGACTTGTTGGTAGAAAAGACACAGCATGCACCCGTTTCCTAGAATAAAACTCAAGGGTACATTCTTCTAATCAGTTCACTAAACAAACAAACAAACAAAAAACATAAGGAAGCTTGACTAATCTCTGACATGATTAGATGATCTGTGCATCGTTTTTGTATTCAGGCAAGTTCGGTATGTTTTTTGTTGGTTATAACTCTTATTAACCCATTTAAACCTGGAAATTTGCTGCTGTAATAATTACTTTAAAAACAATAAACATAAATAAAACAAAAAGGTAATAAAAGGAATACATTTCAAAAGAAAAAATAATTTTATGAATAAATAATAAAATTTTAAAACGACAAATAAAAACCAGAAAAAGGACAAACAGGATCATCCTCTATTTGTTTAAAGCCAGGGAGTTTTAAAGGACTCCCACTGCAAAAGCACAATCACCTTTCTTTTAAGTTTGTATCAGCGAGAAACTTCTGGTTATTTGACTTGAATGTTCTGGTGCTGTTGCATAAGATCAGGCTGGAGCCAGACCATTAAAAACTTAAAAATCTTAAAAATCCGTTCTGTAACAGACACGGATCAAGTGAAGATAAGCTAACACTGGTGCGTCTCTTTGTACCCGTTAAAAACCGATCTGCAGCCTTGTGAACCATCAGCATAAGGAAGACAGGTCAGTGACTTTACACAGTCAATATGAAACACCGTCTCCAAGAAAGAAGAAAACGGGAGCAGGACTTGACTTTGGCTAAAAGCCAGAGTTAAATGAACCCTGAACTGAGCTGATCTGTTTCTTTAAAGAGACAATGTGTAGTTTTTCCCTTTAATCTCTGGAAATATTCATGAAAATGTTGTTGAAAAAAATGATATGATGCCCAGTTGATTGGCGGTTTTGTGACAAAATTGGATTTCAAGTGACGGTGTGTATTTTTCCTGGCAATAGGGGGCGATAGATACCTAAATTGTTTCAAGCAAGCTGTAATTTTGTGTTGGAGTTAACCCCTTCTTTCCATCAGCCGTCAGCAGCATGTTACTGCAGCAGCACGTCTTGCTCGCGTAAGCTGCTGCTTGGCCCTTCCCACGAGAAGCAGCAGGGGATCCTCTTAGGTGTGTTCTTGCTGTGTCGTATCTCTAATTCCATGCTGTAGTTCTTTTTTAAAACACAGCAGTTTTGTTTACCTGTTTTCCCGCTACGTTTTGTTTGCGGCTGCAAACTTCCTCAGGCTGACGTCAGCCAGGGCCCAAAGAAAAAAGGCCTTTAGGGCCTAAAGCCTAAAGGGCTAAATGGATACAATTAAAATAAATCTGTGCTTTTGTTGTTTTTTGAGTGCAGTAGTTTTTACAATGACTGAAATTAACAACAAAAGTTTAAAAGACGATGTTTAGTTCAAAGACACCATTTATTTATGTTACTTGGTGATAAATCTCAGGATCTCACAGCATATCTGAATACATATAATGGAGTTTTGAATGTTGACTGAACTTTAAGACATCTTTTAATCCAAACACTAATTCTGGATCAGCATTCTTATTATGTAATCAGTCTGCACTGGTGCAGAGGTAGACAGTGGTGTGAAAAACGATTTGCCCCCTTCCTGATTTCTTATTCTTTTGCATGTTTGTCACACAAAATGTTTCTGATCATCAAACACATTTAACTATTAGTCAAAGATAACACAAGTAAACACAAAATGCAGTTTTGAAATGATGGATTTTATTATTTAGGGAGAGAACAAAATCCAAACCTACATTGCCCTGTGTGAAAATGTAATTGCCCCCTGAACCTAATAACTGGTTGGGCCTCCCTTAGCAGCAATAACTGCAATCAAGTGTTTGCGATAACTTGCTACGAGTCTTTTACAGCGCTATGGAGGAATTTTGGCCAACTCATCTTTGCAGAATTGTTGTAATTCAGCTTCATTTGAGGGTTTTCTAGCATGAACCACCTTATCAATAGGATTCAGGTCAGGACTTTGACTAGGCCACTCCAAAGTCTTCATTTTGTTGTTCTTCAGCCATTCAGAGGTGGATTTGCTGGTGTGTTTTGGGTCATTGTCCTGCTGCAGCACCCAAGATGGCTTCAGCTTTAATTGACGAATAGATGGCCAGACATTCTTCTTCAGGATGTTTTGGTAGACAGTAGAATTCATGGTTCCATTTATCACAGCAAGCCTTCCAGTTCCTGAAGCAGCAAAACAACCCCAGACCATCACACTACCACCACCATATTTTACGGTTGGTATGATGTTCTTTGTCTGAAATGCTGTGTTACTTCTACGCCAGATGTAACGGGACATTTGCCTTCCAAAAAGTTCTACTTTTGTCTCATCAGTCCACAAGGTATTTTCCCAAAAGTCTTGGCAATCACTGAGATGTTTCTTAGTAAAATTGAGACGAGCCCTAATGTTCTTTTTGCTTAACGGTGGTTTGCGTCTTGGAAATCTGCCATGGAGGCCATTTTTGCCCAGTCTCTTTCTGATGGTGGAGTCGTGAACCTTAATTGAGGCAAGTGAAGCCTGCACTTCTTTAGAAGTTGTCCTGGGGTCTTTTGTGACCTCTCGGATGAGTTGTCTCTGCGCTCTTGGGGTGATTTTGGTCGGCCGCCCACTCCTGGGTAGGTTCACCACTGTTCCATGTTGTTGCCATTTGTGGATAATGGCTCTCACTGTGGTTCGCTGGAGTCCCAAAGCTTTAGAAACGGCTTTATAACCTTTACCAGACTGATAGATCTCAAGTACTTTTGTTCTCATTTGTTCTTGAATTTCTTTGGATCTTGGCATGATGTCTAGCTTTTGAGGTGCTTTGGTCTACTTCTCTGTGTCAGGCAGCTCATATTTAAGTGATTTCTTGATTGAAACAGGTGTGGCAGTAATCAGGCTTGGGGGTGGCTACAGAAATTGAACTCAGGTGTGAAACACCACAGTTGGGTTATTTTTTAACAAGGGAGACAATTACTTTTTCACACGGGGCAACGTAGGTTTGGATTTTGTTCTCTCCCTAAATAATAAAAACCATCATTTCAAAACTGCATTTTGTGTTTACTTGTGTTATCTTTGACTAATGGTTAAATGTGTTTGATGATCAGAAACATTTTGTGTGACAAACATGCAAAAGAATAAGAAATCAGAAAGGGGCAAATAGTTTTTCACACCACTGTAGCTACAGCCTTCAGAGCCACAAACTCCGAGTCCAGTCTGCTACGCCCAGCTGTGTCAAAACAAAGATTTTCTCTCTGTTTTATTTGGCTCATACAGACGTTACAGCCACTGTCCCACCAGCTTAAAATGCTCTTTGTATTTTTGTTCGTCTGAGAATTTGATCCCTCTGTAACCCAGCAGGTTTCGTCTGTGGTTTCTTTATGATCACTGTAATGAACCAAGCAGAGCTCTAGAGGTAAAAAAGCTGACTGTTCTTTTTGTTACTTCTTTGATACGATTTATCTGTTAGACGTTATCCACCGAGTGTCCCGTGTGCTTAAAAAGCAGACAGAAATACAGAAAGGCAGTGACTTTGTGTTTATGATTCCTCACCTTTAGTTCTCCTTTTAGGAATGATTGACAGAATTCCCGCACACGTTCTGTGGAAATGTCTCCGTCAGGTAGGAGCCACTTCATGTCTGAATCACCATCGTAGATCCCAACTCGGGGAAGGTCCTTTGACTTCAGGCCGAAGTAGTTCAGCGACTTAAAGTTGGACTTCACAGCTCCGTTGATCAGCACGAACAACAACTGGAACATATTTTTTAATTTAAATATCAGTTAGATCAGATCATCTCATGGCCAAATATTAGATTTTTACTCAGAAGCTTCATAGCCTGGATTTGGGGCTCCTGTCTTCTCACTCATAAGTTTTCTTTGTTTTTTGTTTTTTTGCATTAAATATCTAATCACAACAATAGATAAATAATTTACCACACAGCAGCAAAATGAGAATCAACCCAATGAAATAACCAGAGTTTGATTATTAGTCTTTGTAAAATGTCCCATGTATTTACATGGAGTAGTGGGATTTCTGATATATTCTGCAACCAGCCACTAGGGGGTGTTTGGTTTATTTCTGCTTTGATGGCTTAATTATGTTGTTTTGTTTTTGTAATTAAAGATGTCAGCTGTCTGAAAACCTGAGAATGTCCAGCTTTTGATAAAAAAATGTAGTTTGAGAATCTCCTGCTGTGAATCAAGTTCATGAACATCTTCACCTTGCCTGTGAACTCGGGGGCCAGAGCTCCCAGTCGCTCCTTCAGCTCGGTATAATCTTTACTGCCCCTGTTGGCAAATAGCACGAGGTGCGTCTTCACGTCTGAGTTGAACAGACCTACAGCCGTCTGAGAGAGCCGGAGGACAAGAAACAGAATAAATGATGAAGGTGGAGAGGGCAGAACCTCTTAGTAAACAAAACCAAACTGTGAAGGTTTCTCCTGATTTGATGGAGGTGGACCCACCACTTGGTTGTACTCTGTGATGTATCGAAGCTCGTTGATGGTGATGAAGTTCACAAGTCCATCAGTTTCCAGCTTCTTGGCCTCAGAAATAACAAGGTTCTCCTGATGGTTATCTGCCTGGATGACAGGAGACATCATTATTAGCATCTCCAACCAAATTTAGGAGGAGACCCAGAGTGGTGGTGATGGTGTGGAGTACCTTTCTGAAGAGGATGATGGTGTCTGAGGAGATGCTGTAGTCAACCCACACCTCTTTCACAGAGCAAATGGCTGCAGGAACCGATTCGACTTGCTTTGAAGCTTCTAGGAATTCACTGAAGCCTCGACTCTCTTCACTCTGAAACACACATTTCAGTTTCTTACTTTTTAACAATTCATGTGTTATGATGGTTTTGTACTTCATATTCCTTCCATCTGCTCTTGTTTTCCACAACAGCCTTACATAATAGTCTTATGTAACCTGACCGGGACTATCTGTGGTTGGACTAGAAACTCTTGGTTTAAAAAAGACAAAAATTAAAAATACCAAAGAGAGAAATTGGGGCTGCCTCAAAGAGTGGTGAATCACTTCTATTTTTGAGGCATTTTATGAGCTCTGGCAATCCGATTTTTCCTTTTGAAGCCTCCGCGTGATCCTTCTCAGTGAGTCACAGTTCCAATATTTTGGTCTCCTGTTACCTTCACCACCCGGCTATTTGTTATCCTCACATGCTCCCTGCTCCTGTTCCACTCGCGATCCTGCTCCCTGCTTTTGTGATTGTTTACATGAAGATCAGTGGAGCCAATCCCACAAGACTTCACTTGCATATATGCACTTCCGGTCAAACTGGCCACCTCCCCCCGTGTGCAGAGTCTGGCCAAAGACAGCAGGCTACTGTCTGTCCTCCAAGAGCCGGCGCTGCCAAAGGCGTGGTGACAGGAACTATAGCCCTCTTCAGAACCTATTCGTGAAACCAGCATCACACAGATGTGTTGCAACATTCTGAGAATTTGATTGTTGATTTTTATTAGTGGTTTGAAACAGTGAAGCATGATGATGACAGACGTAGCATCTCAAAGTTTATTAAAGATAATTTTCAACATCCGGGTCTCTGACCTCCAGGAATCCAACGATCACCACTTCAGCAGAGTCGACGAAGGCTTTAGCAGCTTTGAGGTCGTTTAGCTTGATAAGACCAGAGTCTGAAAACAAAAGACACAAAATCCCTGTAAAAAAAAAACACAACCCGTAGCAGCTGTAAAGCTTCGTTTAGTCGTAACACTGTTAGGGTTGAAATAGCCCTGCAAATAGTCAACATCGCATGGACGTGCAGATCAGGTCTATATTGAGTCTGTTGATCCAGACCACGCCTGCAGGACGTCCAAACTAGGTTTTTGCACAGTGGGAAGAAATGATCCCAAATAAAATAAAGCCTTCTTTATTAACCTATTAAAAATGACATATCGTGCAAAACTCACCTTTAGCATCCTGTTGTGTTGCCATGTGGGTTTCCACTGTCTCTATAAACACTCTCAACATGAAAAACATTCATCCACCTGTTTTCTGCCCGTGTTTGGTTTTAGGAATTATCTGCCTTAAAAAAGCTGTTTCAAAAAGTTTGTGATGTCACAAAAAAATTGAATGAAACCACGTTTAAGAGAGAGCTACTTCAGGAGGTGCAGCGGCTCTAGTCTGAGCCCCTCTCAGATAATGGAGCTTCTAAGCTCATAGCAACCTGAGCATGGCATGGGTGGGCGTGGCCAGCTCCACCTTTTGTTAAGTGACAGAGCCCTAAAACGGATCATTCTGGAAGGTACTCAAAATCTCAAGTTAGGTGAGAGGGATTTAGAACTTCATGAACGTGTTTTGTATTGACCTTATAGTTATTAACAAAATGTAATAATAAAAAAAAAGTCAGAATATGTACCCTTTGAACATGTGTTAACCAGTTTTCTTCAAAGGTTTTTGTGGCAACATTTGGTCATTAGGGTGAGTTTATGATGCTATGAATGACAAGAAGAGTCCACATCTCTTGGTTTTCATTATGGTAACAAAAACATTGCTAGTTCTTGAACTGGTTATAGAGGAGGACAGAAACACCATACATATACATATACATATATATATATATATATTAGGGATGTAAGAAAATATCGATATGGCAATATATCGTGATATTTTTCCCAGCAATATTATATCTATATTCAAAAGCCGTGTATCGGAAATATCGATATGGCAATATATCGTGATATTTTTTCCTGCGATTATTACATCGATATTCAAAAGCCGTGTATCTAATTCCTGAAAGAATTTACATTTAAACATTTGTGTATTTTCTTTTCGTTTTGCGCAATTCAATCGCCACCCGCTAGTTGGCAGCAGTGTGCAGCGGGTTTTGTTTCCACCACTGAAATGTAAATCCCTCCATCATGGTTCAGATACCTCATGTTAAACATGTTACGTATCAGTTTGGACTGTTTATTGAACATTCTTACAATAAATTCAGTAAAAAAAATAGCTTGTAACATCTGACTGAATGTATCGCAATATATCGTGATATATCGTATCATCTCCCCTGTATCGTGATATGTATCGTATCGCCAGAATTTCAAAAATACACATCCCTAATATATATATATATAATCACAACTGCCTTAATTCTCCTTTCACAGTTATTTTGTTATTCCAACTCAAACTCACCAATGGCCTAACTTGTATTTGGCCAGCTGCTTGCTTTGTAAAAAATATTCAAATGAGCTTTGATGATTAAAGAATATAATGAAATAATATGCATCAACATATACAAGCCCAAATTACAACTGAGACCACAAAAGTTGGCAAGAACGCACCCATTAAATAATAAAATGATAATATCAGCACTTTTCACTCAGGTCAGACTGGATTATCCTCTTTTGTACATTTGGCCTGTGTGTAATTTCATAATCCATTACTTAGTTATTTTTTCACAGGCTAGTAAAAAATATGTTTTTACCTTACATGTTTATGTATTTTAAATCGTTAGAGTTCGCCACCAACACCTGCGAACTCTGATGATGGCTAGAGTCATTAGCCGGAACATGTTAGGTAAAAAAATATGTCTTTATTAACCTGTGTAAAAAGACTGGATTATGACCGGATGCCAAATCTGTTCTCTAGGGAAATATTTGGAAACGGACATAATTACAATTATTATTATTATTTTTTTTACTAAACTGAGAAATAAAACCCAAACAGTAATTTCATAAACAACACAATACTGTTCTTGGTGTTGGCAGAGTTGTGATGGTTTAAAGAATAAGAGACAACAGGAGGTCAGACTGATTCTTTACCTTTCTCTGTGGCAGCGACTGAAGACAGCAGGAAGGCTAAAAGCAGGGTGACCTGCATGTTTCTATGGTTCAGCTCACGTGGAGGAAACGAATCAAAGAGCAGTAAGGGAGAGGAAAAGCCCTAAAGATGTTTGGCTGTTTGTTCACAAACCGTCGGATGGTCTCCACTCAGCAGCTGGCTGGAGCTGCTTCCACCTCTCTGGGCTGTGTGGGAATCAGCCAGGTGATCCTGATAAGTTAGAGGGGAACTGATGTTGGACTACGTGTCACTGGGCCACACGGGACACGTTTACTGCAGTCTGAGGATCAGAGACTAAATGTCCTCATGCCTCCTGCTGCAGAAGCAACACATTCATGTGTCTGTGGTTTGATGCGGGCAATGAAAAGTGTTGTCTGGCTGCAGCAGCAAGGAAATAAAAGTATTTTCTTTTCATCTAGTGAAGGACTAGATGGTAGCTGGCCTGCACTTTTATAGTTTCACCACATGATGGAAACAAAAGTCACGTATTCATTACCAGCGGTTAAAAATAGACAAGAGCGTTCATCTTTTTTCATTATTATCTAATAATGGTAACAAGATTTATATATATATATATATATATATATATATATATATATATATATATATATATATATATATATATATATATTTATTTATTATTCTCCTGTTACTGCACCAAACAAGTAAAACATAAAAACAAATCAACATTCACAAATTTGCTGCTTTTTTTGTGTTAAAATAAGTTAATATTTCCACAACATTATGTAGTCCCACAATAGCCACAATTATAAATAAATAAACTTTCATGAAAAACCTCAGAAACTAAACTTCTGATCAGAATCAGAAGGGTTTTATTGCCATATGTGCAAGAATCACAACATTAGGACATTTCTGTGGTACTTGGTGCAAGAAAAAAATAAATAAGTAAACATTTGTATTGAGAAATAAACACAATGAAATGCTAATTTATCTAAAATGATAATGATCCGTGTGGAAATGGGACAAGGATCATTTAACAAAACCATTTGGTGCAGACGTGTTTCTGTATTAACTGCACAAAACACAAAGATAAAGGAAGAAGATTTTCTAAAGTGTTACCGACCCAAAATAAAATCACATGTTCTGAGTTACTTCAATGAAAAGAACCAGGCTGATACCAAAACTGCTTTCAAAATAAAGCTAATAATCAATGTGGATTTTTACCATTGTTTTTATTCTAAACTAGATAAAAAGTTATTTAAACCTGCTTAAAATGTCCTGTAAGTTACACAAAATCCAATAAAATTTCTATTTTGTGTCACTGAAATGCAACCGTTGTTCTAAAGTGGATAAACGCTGAATCTAAGACCTTGGGTTTTCCTAAATTCTCCTTTTAAATTTAATAATTAGATCAGATAACCAGAAATAGAACCACACTAGGATGTGAAGCCATTTTTCACTGAATGATTAAAAAACATTCACTCCATATAGATGTGAGTCACCTCAGCTTTCTCATTGGTTATTAGTTCAGTTTGACGTTTAAAGGTAGTTGTTTTTTAGTTTGAGGAGCGATCCAAAGCCCACAGTCAGCAGCGTGGCTGATGATCTTTTATCATGTTCTCAAAATCTCATCACAACAAACTTCTCTTTTTATTTTATTCACAATTCATATTTCTGTGTAGATTTTCTAAATCAACCAAAAACTTCATCGAAAAGGCTGAAAAAGTATAAAACACATCAAACGTGTATGTAAAACGATAAAATCATTTTTTTTCTAAAAATGACCTTGTTACATTTGGGCGGAACATCATGAGAAGAATCTGAATCTGCAGTTAAACAAAAGTGGACGCGTCTCCAGTGTCCTCCAAGTGAAAGACACTAGTGATGTGTCGGTGGCGAACGAACCGGCTCTAAGAGCCGGCTCTTTGAAGAGAACGACGGGAGCCGGCTCGTCATTGGGAGCCGTCCCCTCCCCTCCCCCCTCCCCCCCTGCTTTGGTGAAAGCTACAGGCGATTGGTCAACATGTGTAACTGTGTGTCCAGACTGTCCACACACAGAGCAGTAGGGGCAGGGAAGAGGGAGGATCAGACTCAGACACACAGCAGAGCACATGTGGGAGGAGGGAGACGAGAGGGAATGAGGAGGAGGAAAAGGGCGAGCGAGAGGGAGGAGAGCGCGACGAAGACGGTGAGAAAATAAGCACCAGCAGTCGGAAAGTGGAGATTTCTTAAAGTGTTCAGTTATTAAATCCATAGAAATGATCAATATTTGATATATTGCTTTTTTTACATTAATAAATCATTTTACATATAGTTTTGCATTATTTTGGTTATAAATGTACTCTACGCAACAGAAAATCTGAGGAGCCACTTGGGAGCCGAAAGAGCCGGCTCTTTTTGGTGAGCTGAGCCAAAAGAACCGGCTCTCTAAAAAGAACCCGAATTCCCATCACTAAAAGACACTCAATCGTTACATCTCAGTGTGAAGTGAATGATTTATAATTAAAAATAATTTTATTTTATTTTACCACTGATGACCCACAAACTCTGTTCTTTTTTGTTCATAAATCATGTTTTCCTGATAACTCAATGGCAAACTGCATGAGTAAAAAAAAATTAATGTTAAACTTTAATGACAAAATCCTGCAAAGTTAAAATCTCGCATCAGTTTTCCCGTTTCCCTGCATGTGTCTTTGGCGCCACATACGAGACTGTTTTAGAAATTCCTGTTGACGGCGGCAGACAGTGTTGAGCTATAAGAAGGCTGACCCGTAAGCAGTAAAGTTGGTGTTTATAACATTCCACACACAGAAGCATGCTAGACGGTTAAAAAGGAAGCGATGGAGAACAGGAAGGACTGAAATAAATCAGACATTTTGGACTTGTGATAAATGTTAAACAGGTCCACAGAGGGCACTGTCCAGGGTGAAATTACAGAGACGGACTCATTTTGGTGCCACAGATAAACGAAGACGGGCTTGTACACTGCAAAAACTAATTTTCAAGAATATAAAAAACCTTTTTAGACAGTTAATCCTTTTTTTTTTTGTAAAAACAAGCAACATGAAGTATTTTATCCTTTAAGTGAACTGTTGTTGCAGCTATCAAGTTTCCCGTCATGAAGTCCAAACTACAGTTGGACTATGTGGACCTCCAGGATTCTGGGCTTCCTGATGGACAGAATACGGTCTCTGGAGATATAAGCCTTGCTTTCAGAGTTTTACAACATTCCTAGGAGGGGAAATGACACTGAAATAAAATCAGCATCAATGCTGCTTATTTCCTTCTCCTTCCATTCTGCTTTTTCTAATTTTACAAATGTTAGTTGTTTGGTGATGTCCGCCAAAGTCATTCCCTACTGAGTTACAACCAGTCAGCGTGAAGTAGCCACAGGTCCTGCTCAGCGACTCTACCGGACCTTGCCAAGTACCTGTTCCAGCTCAGGTACTCCGTTGGTTCCTGAAAATGGAGAAGGGTTCTTTTGTCCGGCTCGCTGAAGTTCAGTTCAAGTTTCAATTCAAGTTTATTTATAAAGCGCCAAATCACGGAAAGAGGCGTCTCAAGGCACTTCACATAAACATTCCAATTCAGGTCAGTTCATTAAGCCAATCAGAAATAATGTTTCCTATATAAGGAACCCAGCAAATTGCATCAAGTCACTGACTAGTGTCAGTGACTATACAGCAATCCTCATACTAAGCAAGCACAAAGCGACAGTGGAGAGGAAAACTCCCTTTTAACAGGAAGAAACCTCCAGAGAATCCTGGCTCAGTATAAGCAGCCATCCTCCACGACTCACTGGGGATGGAGAAGACAGAGCAGACACACACACAAACACACACACACGCACGCATGCACACACACGCACGCACACGCACACACACACACACACACACACACACACACACACGCACATGCACAAGTGGAGACACACGCACATGCTGCAAAGTTCCGTTTAATTATAGATCCACTAGGATAAATACAATAAAGTTTATCTTTCACCAAATAGAATATTTACTAAGACATCATAATATAACTGTAAACACATTACTTGTGTGTGTGTGTGTGTGTGTGTGTGTGTGTGTGTGTGTGTGTGTGTGTGTGTGTGTGTGTGTGTGTGTGTGTGTGTGTGTGCTCTGTCTTCTCGATCCCCAGTGAGTCGTGGAGGATGGCTGCTTATACGGAGCCAGGATTCTCTGGAGGTTTCTTCCTGTTAAAAGGGAGTTTTCCTCTCCACTGTCGCTGCATGCTTGCTTAGTATGAGGATTGCTGTATAGTCACTGACACTCGTCAGTGACTTGATGCAATTTGCTGGGTTCCTTATATAGGAAACATTATTTCTGATTGGCTTAATGAACTGTCCTGAATTTGGAATGTTTATTATGTGAAGTGCCTTGAAACAACTCTTGTCGTGATTTGGCGCTGTATAAATAAACTTGAATTGAATTGAATTCTGATGAAGTTACCCCATTGGAAACAACCCTATAAGGTCCTCCACCATGTTGTACAGACCGATGTGTCCTGAGCCCCCTGCTGTTCACACTACTCACATGTGATTGTTCTTTAAGACATCCTGGAAATCATTTTATGAAGATGCTGCAGTGGCTGATCTAGAACATTTTATAAGGGGTGGTCAAAGGAGGCTCAAAAGTTCTGGGAGTGCTGGACCTCCTCATTCTTCTGCTCTAAAAGACATTTACATCAGAATGTGGGCAAATGACACAATGATGGGCACAATGTAGTCAGCCAGTGAACTATTCACCTTCCTTCCTTCAGTCAGAAGATGGAGCAGCCATGTTGTCCCGATAGCAAGGCTGAGGAGCAGCTTCTTCCCTGAAGCTGTGAGCCTCGTGACCCCTTCTGTTTATAGGGTGACTTAAGCGTTTACTAATGACTTTAATGAGTTCATGTTTCTAGTGTCTCTAAAATGCTGTTAAATGATGATAATAAATGAATCAAAAGAAACTCCTACATTCTGTAATTAGGATGATTCAGCAACAAAATAATAAGCATTTGAGACAGTAGCAGGACTGAAAATAAACTAAAGATTAAAAGGCTTCACAAACTCAGCAAGAGCCCGGTGTCCCCATTCTGTCATCACTCCTTTAGAGCCCAGGCGAAGAACAGGTCACGTGATCAGAAGACAGAAGAAGGCGTTTTGTTGTTGTGTACGTCTGCTGTTAGGTCCAGGAGCTGCAGCATGTGTGGAGATCAGGCGTGTGTGTGAACACATGAATCA